AAATCACAAAAATTGAAAAACTGAACGCGAGACTTTAAAACCAGACTTTAGAAAATCACATATCAAGTATTTAATATATGTATATACAATACAGTATGTATGTATTCTATAAAATCTAAATGTAAAATCTAAAATGAATGTGATTATTTGTCAGTAACTTCTGAAATAATTACCAACAAGAGCATAAAGGCATCTTGATAAAATTATCTGGATAGATTTAATTCGAAGTAGCCTAATTAATTACGCGAAATGATAAAGCCATCACGCTAGAGTGGCGTGTTACAAATTTGTGTTGTACACGTGACACATTAATAATTTCGCAAAAACATTATCATTGATTTAATAATTTTCTTCTGATCAATTTCGAGTTCATCAAGTAATATACAAATGAAGCGATCGACGACACGAACTATTACGCAATCGCATCTCATGTCACAGTGACGTCAACACTTGCTTCAGCGTGGAGATTTACAAGTCAGATGTACACTTATGTGAATCGTTTGTTTCTTTTTAAGCGGAAGAAATTTCAAAACAGTGTACGATAATCTTTATCAGGGGGTTATCGGATACTATCAGAATATTAACGTATCTATAACAGAACAATTACACACTCAATTCTTTGAACTTCTATATGCTATTAAACGCGTTTTTAATATTTAAATTTTTGAATATAATATAATGCTAATTATGTATGTATATACCAACCAAGTATCAAGGTATACCAATAAGCAATTGTTTCATCACAAAAATAATCTTTCATATATTAAACTTTTCCATTATTTACTTTTTGAAATAAACTTTCGTTTGTAAATTATAAATAATTTAATCATTTCATGCTTTTTATGAATATTAAAAATAAGAAATCCCTTTCCTTTGTGCGTAAGAATTGCTAAATCATATAAAAATTTGAGAGATAATCACTGTTAATCTATTTAAAAACCTAAATATTAAGAACATTTAGCATTTAAATTTTTTACATTTAAGAACAGTAACTACTTTCATGTTTGTTACATTTTTAAGTTGACTTGTTGATACTTAAATTGTCACGTGATATAACAGTTACATTAATAAAAAATAGTGCCTATTATTTTAACAGCAAAACTGTGACTTATCCAAGATATAAATTTAGTTCCAGTTATGAAATTTTGTAAATATTTACATAATTTTAAATCTATGTAGAATTGATTAATACATAATAACAAAAAATCTGATTAAAAATGCAGCACAAGGACTCAAGTTTAATGTAAGTATATATAAAGTAAAACACAATCTTTTATTTAAATTGTATAAAATGATGTTAAAAGACTAGTTTATTAAGTAATTTACTTATATTATTACATATATGTTTCTATCATTATTCGTAAGAGATAATAGTACTTTGAATTAACCAATTTATGATCAAGGTTTTATCAAAGATTTAAAAAATTATAACAGAACTTATATGTACATGTTAACAAAACATAAAATCTATGCGCAACATGTCTGTAAACCTATCGCATCTTCATAAATACATTGTAAATACTTAAAAAATTATATAAAAAATTTAAGTAAATAACAGAATTAAATAGATTGATTGTTACAATCATATATAGACATATGAAAATAAACATAAACATAAATTAAAGTATTTTCAGTTGTATTCATGTATAAATACAATACTTTTTAATTCTATTATTACCAGATATTAGATTAATTGTGAAAAAGTTTTGTACACTTATTACTTTTGGAGTTCCATTAGAAAAATAACAAATTATGCCTGTTTAAATTAAACAGATTAAAATATGAAACAAATCACATTCAAATACTATGTACCTAAACAGATACATTTAAAATACATGAAAAATAAAAGAATGTTGCTTAAAAATTATAAAGTATAATATGAAGAATTTTTAACAATTTTTATAAATGGTACTGAATTTTTAACAAACAATTTAAAGCAAATGTGTTAGCTCAAGGTCAAAACTATATTCATTGTTCTATATACATTTGGTATAAATCTTCATATTCATAAATGTTGAGAATACGCATCTATAATGAAACTTAAATGAAACTGCTAACAATCAGGGAAAAATACATAAAAATTGAAACTTATAACGACGCAACGTGTTACAATAGTAAAAAGATTCTTAAACTTCATAACCTTTCACAATTATAGTTATTAGAGCAGTAGTTAAATTTTACATACTATTTTATGAAACTATTACCTTTTTAAAATCGTTGAACCAAATGCAAATTTAATAAAACGGAAGGTAGTAAGCAGCGTAGAAGTCTCAAAAAACCAAACTGTCCCTGCCGCTGCTTGTAAGAAACTGATGTTTTAAGGACACGAAAGGTCGCTATTTCCTAGTGCACTTACCTTATACCTCTGGGCTGATTTCCACTGCAAGTAATATAAATTAAACCGTAAATACAATTCTCATCATTTGCATCAATTCATTGTTCTAAAAAATTATATTTTATATACGTAAAAGTATATATACAAAGTCATGCATGTAGAAATACATATAGTGTATTTGTAATACAATTATTTCAGGATCTTCTATACAACTTTTATATACATATAGTCCATACATTACTAAATAGAATTAGTTTTTTTTTACACTATATTTATTAAAGCAATTTTTAGGTTGGCAAACTTGATCTATAAGTGAACGATAATACATTTATGTATTGTTCACAGCTTACTCTTGTTGTTTTAATTAATTTAAATAAATATTACTCCTTTGTGAATTATTCACGAATAAACATTTGTTGTAAAAGTACTTCAATAGTAATCTATTATAGCATACTGACTTAGTTACAAAAATATTAAGTATTTACAGAAGTTATAATTAAACATGTTTTGTTGTTTCATTAGCAAGATAAATTCATGCTTTAAAAGGTTGTAAAAAATATGCTTCTGTACTTCCACCTTTAGATTTATAATGTTTATATGTACCAAGTATATCAATTTTTTATATCATGTACTATTACTGCTAATAAATATAAAATATACTCGAAATGACACATATTGTTAAAAAGTAAATCCCGATAGGTTTTAATATCATTATGTATATTTCTATTCCTTTATTATGTTATTGTTCTCTCTGTAAGAATCATTATTATACCCACCTTCCACATGTCACACTATTGAAACAAGAACCATTTGGTTTTATTTAAACAATAAAATATAATTCATTCATGCTAAATGTTAATATAACGCACAACTTTATTTTACGAAGATTTATTATGTTGTAATAGTCGAAATTTTGAGTCCTATTTAAATTTGCAATTTTATTTTACTTTCTATTAAAAATTCTTGGCGATAAGTTTAAAGTACCTTTCGTTATTTTAACGTAGTTGTTAAATTATTTATTTTTATTTCTTTGTGACGAATTATAAGGAAGTAGACATATCAATTCTAATTCAAGCACCTTTCTATATTTTCTTTAATATGCAGTAACTTTTGATGTTGTTAAGAAATGTTTAAATTTTTGATAAAATAGATGTAACCTCGAATTTACATGAACAGTGTACACAGACATATGTACAATGTGATTGCGTTGAGATATTTTTATGTTACTTAAATAATTTTTGTTAAAACTATTAATGCATACAATGATACGTAAAAGAAAATCCAAAAAAGAAATAAGAAATTCGTTATCATCATCCTATAATGAAACTGTTCAAAGGTAAATCAAATTAGTATTATAACATGACATGTGATATGTCAAATTAACCTGAAAATAAACTTTGATTATACTATCGGATTTATTCGCTTTTACTAGAAAACATATTCAATTATTGTCCGAGTTTTTCAGTTAATATATTTTTCACTTTTTATAAATGCCTTCTTTATCAATTACTATTAAATAATTGCAATGATGATATGTAACTTTATCTGATTATAAACTTTATATATACATATACATATCATTTTATGTATACATTTATATGCAATATATCTACGTACTTTAGAAAAATTTATCACAGTTGGTCTTTCTTGCATATTTAAAAACATAATATATAAAAGTACTTTTTACATTACCTCAT